TGCCAGGTGTAAATGATAATGGGAGCCCTTTGATATGAACTTTTGTATAGTGGAAAGGGGTTTAGTATATAGGTAATACATATTTTAATAAAAGAGGATAAATAAGTATACAAGATATGATGAAGGGCGAAAAGACATTAGTTTTGTTGGATTATGTAATTGGTAGATAAAAGACTGTTAGTAGACCTTCAGGATGTATCATGTTTATAGAGGGGCCACAGATTACGATATCACTTTCTAGTTGTAGCTATCACAGATAGTAAAAGGTAGTTGTGATACAAGAGAATAGAACATCAGGGAAGAGAGAGTGGAAGGTTTAAACTAAAAGAGGTGGCAGTTAGGGTAAGATATAAATAGCTATTGGAGGATAGATGTGGCTAAAAGAGAGCATAGCATGGGGTCGAAGAGGTATGGGGTAGGTTTAAAAATGTAGTGTTAGAGTTTCATCAGAAGTATGTGGAGACAGGAAGTGGGCGGAGGGAAGAGGAGCGATTGGTGGAATTGATGATGTAAAGAGTTATTAGTAAGGAGAAAAAAGTTAAGCATTGAAAGTTTTTACAACGTATAAGTGATGCAAGGAGGAAGAGTATATGGAGAAAAAGAGAGATTAAGAAAGATTGAAGCAATGGAAAAAGAGAGCAAAATGAGAGAGTGGGTGAGATGTAATCACAAATATTGTGTTGAAAATAAGAAAAAGTTTTGGAGTTAGATTACAAGTTAAGAAAGCCTAGAGAACAAATTGGATTTGTCAGTTAAAAATAGAGAGAAGTTATTAAATGGAGAGTTAGAGGTATTGGGAAGATGAGGGAATATTTTTGAGAATTGTTAAATGTTATGAAGAGGTAGGAAGCTGTGATTACGGGTATAGGACAAGGAGGAATAAGTCTTGTAGAGTGAGGAAAGCCAGTTGTGATGTGTGGGAAGTTCGTGAGGCAGTAGGTTAAAATGAAAGGGGGTAAGCATGCCGGATTGATGGATAAAGATAGAAATGTAAAAGCAGGTGGGCGAATATAGTTTTTGGAGGGTTGGTGCAAATTATTTAATAAGTAAGGAAGAGGGTAAAGTACCTAGGGAATGGCAGAGAGCAAGCATAGTTCCTTTGTTAAAGGCAAAGGGGATAAAAGAGAGTGCAAAAATTATAGGGGATAAGACTGCTGAGTATACCATGTAAATGTATGAGAGTATATTAATAAAAAGAATTTAGAAGTAAGACGAGAATAGGATAGGCAGATGCACAAGGAGGCATTAGGAAAGGTAAGGGTGGTGTTGGACGGCAGGTGTTTACATTGAAACATATAATTAACAGATATTTAGATGAAGGCTAAAGAGTCATTGTGGCTATTTATGGATTTTGGAAAACGGCGTATGACAGGGTGTATAGTGAGGGCAATTTGGGTCAGGATGTTGGAAGTGTGAGTGTTAGGAGGAAGGTTACAGAAATCAGTGAATACTTTTACGAGGATAGTGAGGGCTCAAATTAGAGTATGAGGAAAGAGGAAATTGATTACTTCCCAGTAAAAGTAGGCCTTAGACAAGGATTGTGTGATGTCACCGAGGTTGTTTTAATATATTTAATATATGGGGTTGATAAGAGAATAAGATGCGATGTCTTGGTCAAGAGGCGTGGATTTAAAAGATAAAGAATCCGCACACAAAGTTTGAGTTGTCACAGCAGCTCTTTGCGGATGACACTGTGCTCTTGGGAGATTCTGAAGGATAGTGTTGCAGAGATAGGTGAATAAATTTGGTAGTGTGGTGTGCAAAAGAAGAAATTAAAGGTGAAATACAGGAAAGAGTAAGAGTTATGAGGATAACAAAAGATTAGGTGTGAAGAATTGAAATATCCAGGAATTTTCTTGATCTCTACTTGAGAGTCTTGGAGAACCATACAACGCCATTGCTCAAATGTGGTAGTACGATTCAGGACGTGCTATTTTGGACACATCCCTCATCTTATACTCCCACTACCAATTCAGCGTTCAACCGCTACTATTATCCCAACTTCTTAACAGAGTATCCCAACATCCCATAAGTACTCAAGAGTCCATATGTGGACTGAAGAGCTCTATAAGGAAACACCAACAGCACAAAACGAAACTGATTTACTGCATGGTGATGTAAATTAGAGCATGCTAGGGATAAGCTGGGAGGCATTGGAAGATGTCAATTCTGAGGCCATGTGTGGTGTGAAATATATGCAGATAAATCGAAATATTTGTAATTTAGTTGGGAGGTGCTGGCTTACCAAAACTTGTTGTCCAGAGTGGCTGAGGAAGGGATGTAGAGGTGGTTCGGACATTTAGATAGAAATAGCAAAACAGAATGACTGACTTCAAGAGTGTATCATTCCTGTAGTGGACAGGAAGGTGCGGGGTAGGGTCCGCTCTAGGAAAGTTTGTGGAAAAGAGAGGGGGTAAAGGGTTTTATTTGGGTGTGTGTGGTGTGGTTGTGGGTGGGGAGCGAAAAAAAAAAGAAGGCGGAACCCTGCGCCCGCCAGGCTCACAACTTCCGCCTATGCCCTCCTCTTCCGCATCTATTGCTCGCCACGCACGTATTTTTAGCTGGCGCCTAACGTCCCGCCTGCCCCCTGGTTTTCCCGCCTTTTAGCGCCAGCCGTTTGCTGCCCCGCCCGTCCTCCGCCCCCTCAGTCGTTGTTTTCTTTTTGTTGTGTGTTAACCTGCCTCGCCTGTTACCCCCACCTCTCCGCACCCTCTTACTTAGCCTCCTCCCCCCTCCTCATCGGTTCAATAGAAGTCGCTTTATTTATTCCCAAACTTCCCTATTAGCCTGTTGCCAACCCAACCAACTGAAACCCCCTTACATCTAATCTCTTAATCACTTCCTATCCATCTCCCCCCATTAAGAAACCACCAATCCAGATCATAATTCTATATCTCCCCTTAACATATTATGAAGGGGATCATGTAAAACCGTTCCGCCGACAATGAGGACCATGAGATGGGGAAGAACAGTGCCTTCATTCCACTCTGAAGGTAGGGGTGTTAATGATTGCAGTTTAAAAACTGTAGTGTAAAGCACCCTTCTGGCAAGACCAGTGATGGAGTGAAATGATGGTGAAAAGATTATTTTTTCTTATTTTTGTTTTTTTTTTTTTTTATTTTTTTTTTTTATTCTTTTTTTTTCCTTTCTCAATTTTTTTTTTTTCTCCTTTTTTTTTTCTTCTATTATTTCCCATTTTCTTTTGTCTTTCTTTTTTTTTTTCTTTTTATTTTTTTTGCCTTCTATTTTTTTTTCTCCTTTTTTCTTCTTTTTTCGTTCTCTTCCTCCTTTTTTTTTTTCTTTTTTCTTTTTTATTCTTTTTTCTTTTTTTTTCTCTTTCTTCTTTCTTTTTTTTCTTTTTTTTCCTTTTTCCCCTTCCTTCCTCTTTTGTTTTTTTTTCTCTTTTTCTTCCGTCTTTTCTCCTTTTTTTTTTTCCCTTTTTTTTTTTTTTTTTCTCTTCGTTTTCTTTATCCTCTTTCACCTTTCTTTTTTTCCTTTTTCCTCTTTCTTCTTTCCTTTTCTTATCTCTTTTTCTTTTCTTTTCCTCTTTTTCTTATATTTTTTTTTTTTTTTTTTTTTTTTCTTTTTTTTTTTTTTTTTTTTATCCTTTTTTTTTTTTTTTTTTTTTGTTTTTTTTTTTTCGTTTTTTTCTTTTTTCTTTTTTTTTCTTTCCCTTTTCTTCTTTTTTTTTCCTTCTTTTTTTTTTTTTCTTCAAACTCCTTTTTTTTCCTTCCTTTCTTTTTTTTTTTTTTTTTCATTTTTTTTTTTCCTTTTCTCCCTTTTTCTTTTTTTTTTTTTTTTTTTTCTTTTTTTTTTTTTGTTTCCGGGACCAAACAGCGCCTACCCTGCCTTGGTGGGAATCGGCCAGTGTGATAATAAAAATATATATTATATATATATTATAAATAATATATATAAATATAGTATATAAAATACATATAAATATATATTAAAAATATAATATTATATATAATATAATAAATATATAATATATATATAATATAATATATAATATATATATATATATATATAATAAAATGCCAAAACAACACAAAAAAAGATAAAGAAGTTGTTCCCACCAACAAAATACCAAGTTCCCAACAAAAACAACCAAGCGCTTTCGTGACTACTCACATTATAATCAAGGAACAATGAAATTAAGCATCAAAGGAAAGTGTATATAAAGGGGTTATCCCAGATCGCACAACAAAGGAACACTCTGACGCAAGAAGCAGGCCCCCGGCCGAACTAGACAGGGTCCTATATACAGACCCACGCAACAAGACTATTCTATACCCCAAGAAATAAGAATTTAAAAAAAAGTAATCTACAACACCAAATAACAATGAGAATTATATTGAAATGTTTGGAAGAGCACGGAGACTAACGCTCACTCCAGCATAACAAAGCCAGCACTGACGCTGCGTAAACCACTTCCTTGGTCCTCCACACTGCTTCCCCTCGATTTTTTTCAATTTCCTTCTTCAATTCTATCGTATTAATAATAGTGATTATTTATTATTATTATATTAATATTATTAATAAATAGGCAGTAGTCAGAAATGTTTGATTCTTTGCTAGTTCAGAGTAAACACATGATGTCACCTTCAATATCTTCCGAAAAAGCCAATCTACATATGCAGTCATGATGGGTTTACATTATTTATACTGTAGTTTAATAGCAAATAATGAACAAACAAAACACTCATCACACAGTGGTGGGAGGGCTGGCTGCCGGTTGCAGGGGTCGGAGGGAGGGTAGTAAGGACTCGTGGCAGTAAACTTAAATATGATTTGGCAGCTGGGAATTTGGCGATTGGGAATTCGCGAATGTGTGAAGCCCGCGAAAGTTGAAAACGCGAATGTTGAGGGAGACCTGTATATATATATATTGTACTGTACTGTGTTTTGTGCAAAATGGTACACAAATTCAAAGGATACATTGATGGCACATGGATATGATGATTTGAGTGTAATAATAATAATTCTGATGTTTATAGGAGATTCAGAAGCTGGAGGTAGCTCATAATCCAACAAGTATGGAGCTGAGTGCTGATGGCAAAACATTGACAGTGGCATATGGCTCTAAAGTTGCATTCCTCAACCCAGAAACGTATGTTATTTACTTTTTTAATGTTAATTACTCTTGTTATGATTAAATATGCTGTAAACTCTGTAATTTAGTAGAGGAGAGAGAGAATCATGCCAAGTTCTGAGTAAAATATCCTTAAAATGCATATAAACAGAAACAAATATTAACAAATATTTAGGTCATGAAAGTTTATCATCCATAGACAGACTACAAGAATTAGGCAGAAGTTTGAGAATAATAACTTTAGTAATTTGCATAGTATGATAAATATTTAAACTTAGTAATATGCAGTTGTGGTTTGATAATATTAAACATAGTAAATTGGGCATGTATTTGAGAATATTAAACTTTAGTAATTTCCTTAACACTTGTCAACATACTCTGTATTGTACTGCATTTATATAGTACGAAGACCACAATACAGTTTTACTTAAAAATTTATTGCTCCTTCAAGGTTGCCACTGAAGTTACGGAAACTGTAAATGGTACACATGTTTTCATCAATATCATAATCCCCTCCTCCATTTTTACAATGCTAAAATATTGTTGCTATATAATTTAAATTATAGACATAATTTAAAGACTGGTGTACCTAATTTGGCTATTTATTCACTAGAAATGACAATGAGATAGAGATTGTGACACTACAGTGGACCCCCGGCTTACAATATTATTTCATTCCAGAAGTATGTTCAGGTGCCATTACTGAACGAATTTGGACCCATAAGGAATATTGTGAATTAGATTAGTCCATTTCAGACCCCGAAATATAAACGTACAAACACACTTACATAAATACACTTATATAATTGGTCGCATTGGGAGCTGATCGTAAAGCGGGGGTCCACTGTAATTGAATAATATGCAATCACTGACTTAACCCGTAAACAGTCCAAACTCCCCAAACTCCAAACGTATATATACATTCTTACCGCTAGTGCCCCAAACGTAATAAACATTTTATTTTTCCTGCCTTCAGATATGGCACATTGGCCTGAGATGCCTTGTCAGCATAGAATGGGTCATAACACTCAGTGTGCACTGTATTAAAAAATCTGGGACCACTTAGTACCTTGTGGGAGCACCAGTTCAAATGAGCGCCAGCTAGAGCAAACAGCACGGCAAACACCTGGGAGTCACTGATTTCATGTAGTACTAACTCTCCCATCTTAAGAGGAAAGTGATGTTGACCCTGAGTTTTGTGGGTTTGAGGTGGATGTGGCCATAAGTGGTTGAGGAAATATCAAAAAACCTCGATAATAACCAATGTGCAACATTTGTGCAACACCCTTTCAGAATGTCTTATAACCTATGCCCTAAGTAAAGGGAAACAATTCTGGAACGTAATACTTGTTCAGCAGGCTGGATGACTGGCTGGCCAGCTGCGTGGCTGGCTGGCTGCTGGTGGCCTGGCTCCATTTGTTTGTCTGTGTCTGTCTATCTCTGTCTGTCTCTATCTCTGTCTATCTTTGTCTATGTCTCTGTCTATATCTATCTGTCTCTGTCTATATTTATCTGTCTCTGTCTATATTTATCTGTCTCTTTCTATCTCTGTCTCACAGGTACACATAAATACAAATAGTATATATGTAGTGTAAATTACCTAGGATAACCCCAAAAATCCAGACAAAGTGCTATACTCTGCTTGAAGATATGAGTAAAGGTGATGATGCAGTCTTGTGGCTCGCTCTGAGACAGACAGGAAGAATATCAAAATGGTATACAATACCGACAGGTTGGTAGGTAAGACACATAGGCAACAGTTAGGCAACTTTATTCAGTGTAAAGTAAAAGGACACAAGTGCAACTAATGTGACATTTATTGTGGCAACGTTTCGCTCTCCAGGAGCTTTATCAAGCCATTACAAACAATACATGGACACAGAGGGTATATAAAGGCTCAGAGTGAGGTGAATACTAGTGAGGTACCATTTCGATGTTCACTAGTGGTAGTAGTAGTAGTGGTAGTGACAAAAGTAATACAATATGGTAGAGCAATTAATTCGTACATGAGTAAAAGGATATTACTTTTGTATTACTTTTGTCACTACCACTACTACTACTACTACTACTACCACTAGTGAACATCGAAATGGTACCTCACTAGTATTCACCTCACTCTGAGCCTTTATATACCCTCTGTGTCCATGTATTGTTTGTAATGGCTTGATAAAGCTCCTGGAGAGCGAAACGTTGCCACAATAAATGTCACATTAGTTGCACTTGTGTCCTTTTACTTTACATATTGTCGGTAATTCTACCAACTTTATTACAACTTTATTCAGAAACGTTTTGCCTACACAGTAGGCTTCTTCAGTCGAGTACAGAAAGAAGGCAGGAACAGTATAGATGTGAAGACGATGTAATCAGTCCATCACCCTTGAAGTCGTAGATTTGAGGTTGTCAGTCCCTCAGCTTGGAGAAGTTCAGCTCCATTGTCTGGAACTATCTGAAGATCAAGCGACACTGCGGAGACTTAAATACTGTCAGAAGGAGAGGTGCATAGTAGTAGTAGTGAGGATGCAGCCACTGAAAGGTCACGTCCCTCTCAGATCAAACAATTCTCACTGGAAAAGTTGTCCAAGGTGTTTTCTGTACCAAGGCGAAACGTTTCAGAATAAAGTTGCCTAACTGTTGCTTATGTGTCTTACCTACCAACCTGTCGGTATTGTATACCATTTTGATATTCACCCTGTCAGACACTGCAACACAATGACATCTTGGTACAGAAAACACCTTTGACAACTTTTTCAGTGAGAATTGTTTGATCTGAGATGGATGCGACGTCTCAGTGGCTACATTCTCACTACTATTACTCTGCACCTCTCCTTCCAACAGTATTTAAGTCTCTGCACTGTCACTTGATCTTCAGATAGTTCCAGACTATGGAGCTGAACTTCTCCAGGCTGAGGGACTGACAATCTCAAATCTACGACTTCAAGGGTGATGGACTGATTACATTATCTTCACATCTCTACTGTTCCTGCCTTCTTTCTGTACTCGACTGAAGAAGCCTACTGTGTAGGCAAAGCATTTCAGAATAAAGTTGAATAACTGTTGACTGTGTCTTACCTACCAACCAGATAGACAGGAAGCTTGACACACAGACAGATGTGTTTGTGTACAAGCGAAAACAAAGCAGGGCCAATGCTCATCATATGTCACCTCTAATCTTATCAAGTCTTATCACTCTAATCTTATCAAGTCTTATCACTCTAATCTTATCAAGTCTTATCACTCTAATCTTATCAAGTCTTATCACTCTAATCTTATCAAGTCTTATCACTCTAATCTTATCAAGTCTTATCACCACACCCTGCATGTGCTCATCAAGTGTCAGTTCTTATCTAATGTTATCTTATCACGTCACTGTCAGGGCAGGGGTGGACTCAGGCTTGTTTTACATGCTTCAAGGGAACATTCTTCTTCTTCTTTTTTTGCTGCTGCTCCTCTTCCTCCTCCTCCCTCCTCCCTCCTCCTCCTCCTCCCTCCTCCTCCCTCCCTCCCTCCCTCCCTCCCTCCTCTTCTTTTTCTTTTTTCTTTTTCTTTCTTTTTCTTTTTTCTTTTTCTTACTTTTTCTTTTTTCTTTTTCTTTTTTCTTTTTCTTTCTTTTTCTTTTTTCTTTCTTTTTTCTTTTCTTCTTTTTTCTTTTTTCTTTTTTTTCTTTTTTTTTCTTTTTTCTTTTTTTTTTTTTCTTTCTTTTTTTTCTTTTTTCTTTTTCTTTTTTCTTTTTTTTTTTCTTTTTCTTTTTTTCTTTTTCTTTCTTTTTTCTTTTTTCTTTTTTCTTTTTCTTTTCTTTTTCTTTTTTCTTTTTCTTTTTTCTTTTTCTTTTTTTCTTTTTTCTTTTTCTTTCTTTTTTCTTTTTTCTTTTTCTTTTTTTTTTTTTTTTCTTTTTCTTTTTTCTTTTTCTTTTTTTCTTTTTTTTTCTTTTTTTCTTTTTCTTTTTCTTTTTCTTTCTTTTTCTTTTTTTCTTTTTCTTTTTTCTTTCTTTTTCTTTTTCTTTCTTTTTTCTTTTTTCTTTCTTTTTTCTTTTTCTTTTTTTTTTCTTTTTTTCTTTTTTTTCTTTTTTTTCTTTTTTCTTTTCTTTTTCTTTTTCTTTTTTCTTTTTCTTTTTTTTCTTTCTTTTTTCTTTTTCTTTCTTTTCTTTTTCTTTTTTTTCTTTTTCTTTTTCTTTTTCTTTTCTTTTTCTTTTCTTTTTCTTTCTTTTTTCTTTTCTTTTTCTTTCTTTTTTCTTTTCTTCTTTTCTTTTTCTTTTTCTTTTTCTTTTCTTTTTTCTTTTTTTCTTTTCTTTTTTTCTTTTCTTTTTTTCTTTTTTTTCTTTTTTTTTTTTTTTTTTTTTTTTTTTCTTTTTCTTTTTCTTTTCCTTCTTTTTCTTTTTCTTCTTCTTCTTCCTCTTCTCTCCTCCTCCACATATCCAAAACATTGCTGGGATCTATAAATACAGTGGAACCTCTGCTCGCACTGGACTTTGCTCGCAACTGGATTTGCTCATTTGCAGAGTCAATTTTCCTCATTTAAATTAATTGAAATGCAATTAATCCGTTCCAGTGGAATTCTGTACTTCAATAATTTCCCTAGTATCAACTCTACAGCTTATTTATCTCACTTCATCTAATATGACATAATAAACAATATAAACATACAAACCTGATATATACTCTAAAATGAATAAAATATGTCATTCGTGTGGTGGTATGGGCGGTGTCGGCGGTGGACGAGTTTGTCTGGAGACCGGGCAAAATACTTCATGAATAATTTAGCTAATATCATCTATACGGCTTATTTATCTATCACAGTTCATCTAATATGACATAAACAATAAAAATAACATAGAAACATGATATATACTCTAGAATGAATAAAATATGTCATTATGTAACAGGTGGAGGCAGCCACAACCGCTCCCTCTTTGTTGTGGTAAACACTGCCATCTAGTGACGGCCTCTTGAAACCGTCTTATAATTGTTATATGTAGTACATTATTATTATGTGTGTATTATTATTATACATATATTATTATTATTGTTGTATTGTATTGTATTATTATACTATTATTATTATACATATTATTATTATTATTATTATATAAATATTTTGTAATTTTTATTCACACAAAAAATATAAGATTTACTTCTATTCCTTAATGAAATAATTGTATAAATAATGTCAACCCATTCACAACTGCATATTGGAATGGACAGTGATGTAATTTGTTTACTCTGAAACAGCCAAGCAATGGACCATTTCCCCTAGGTTGAGCTCTATTTCAAGGTACTTTTTGTCATGAAAGCAATTAAAATCATATCTATTTCTGTAATATATCTTCCATTCTATCAAATGAGACCAAAAAAACGAGAATACAACCATAAAAACCATTCAAAATTACCGCTAAGGGCTGGCTAATTGCTGAGAAGTGAACTCCATTATTTATACTTGGATTTCTTTCATTATTATTATTATTATTAGTATTATTATATAAATAATTTGTAATTTTTATTCACACAAATATAAGCTTCACTGTTATTCCTTATTGCAATAATTGTATAAATAATGTCATTAAATTCACGACTGCATATTGGAATGGACAGTGACGTCATTTGTTTACTCTGAAACAGCCAAGCAATGGACCATTCCCCCTAGGTTGAGCTCTGTTTCAAGGTACTTTTTGTCGTGAAAGCAATCAAAATCATATCCATTTCCGTAAGAATGGAAGATATATATCAAATGAGACCAAAAACAAAACGAGAATCAACCATAAAAAACATTCGAAATTACCGCTAAGGGGTGGCTAATTGCTGAGACGTGAACTCCATTATTTATGCTTAGATTTCTTTCATTTTTGGTGTATGTTAAGAAGCATCTTTCCATCATACATTGCCCAAGTTTCAATAAGATAGTCCAACAAACAAATAAGATACAATTCCCAAAATCAAGAGCAAGAGCCCCTCGCCAGTGTCAAGGAACCTGCCTTGAGGTCTGCTCGCTTGTGGAAATATTGCTCGCTTATGGAAGCAAAAAATTTACCCATCAACTGCTTGTATTTAGAAAAACTCGCACGTGGACACACTCGCAAGTAGAGATTCCACTGTACTCTGTATATATTCCAAGACAATAGTAACTGGCCAAGGCAGATGTAAATGTCCACCTGTCAGTGTGTTTGTGACAATTTCAGTACCTAATACTAGTGTCAGAACAAAGATTGGTTATGAAATGACAAGAACTACTATAAATTGTGATTACCAGAATATAAAAATTACATAAAAATATATGAAAAATAGAAAAAAATGTATGTCGCAACACTTCTGCAAGCGACAGGACTCAATGTTGCTGTCACATGAGCATCCAGTGCCAACTTCTCGGCCTCATATCAATGTAAGTACTGACCCTAATTTTTTTTATTCTATAACACTTAGAAAAATGTGCTCTTTATTTTCATTAAAAAAAAATTATTTTTTATTTTTCAAAATATTCAGGGCACCGGGGTAGTGAACGTATATATACGTTTGGACCAGTTAAATACAGACACTCGTCACTTAACAATCGAGTTCTGTTCCTATGACTAGGTCATTAAGCGAGTTGATCAATAAGTGAGGAGCATACTGTACTGGTAGTGGGTTTGTGTCAGAAATCATTAGATATTGTTTTAATGTCACCTTTGCACCATATATAACAATTTTAATATGTTTATACAGTAGTGTAAGTTTGCATACTGATCAGAGAGCTGGTCGTAAGTCCGAGTGGTCATTAAACAGGTAGGTTGTTAAGTGAGGAGTGCCTATATGTATTTATTTATTTAAGTATGTAGATTATTTTTTTTTTATTAACACACTGGCCGATTCCCACCAAGGCAGGGTGGCCCAAAAAAGAAAAACTTTCACCATCATTCATTCCATCACTGTCTTGCCAGAAGGGTGCTTTACACAACAGTTTTTAAACTACAACATTAACACCCCTCCTTCAGAGTGCAGGCACTGTACTTCCCAACTCCAGGACTCAAGTCCGGCCTGCCGGTTTCCCTGAACCCCTTCATAAATGTTACTTTGCTCACACTCCAACAGCACATCAAGTATTAAAAACCATTTGTCTCCATTCATTCCTATCAAACATGCTCACGCATGCCCGCTGGAAGTCCAAGCCCTTCGCACACAAAACCTCCTTTACCCCCTCCCTCCAACCTTTCCTAGGCCAACCCCTACCCCGCCTTCCTTCCACTGCAGACTGATACACTCTTGAAGTCATTCTGTTTTGCTCCATTCTCTCTACATGTCCAAACCACCTCAACAACCCTTCCTCAGCCCTCTGGCCAACAGTTTTGGCAATCCCGCACCTCCTCCTAACTTCCAAACTACAAATTCTCTGCATTATATTCACACCACACATTGCCCTCAGACATGACATATCCACTGCCTCCGCCTTCTCCTCGCTGCAACATTTATCACCCATGCTTCACACCCATACAGGATGTAAATAGAGTTTTAATTTAATCAGTCTTTCCTCTGCTGGGGTTAAGCTCCTCTGACTTGAGCTTAGTGATTTGAAAGATACAGTACATATTTAAGTTATAATATTTACAACAATTTAATTTTCTCAGTATTTAACCCGTAAACGGTCCAAACGTATATATATACGTTTTTACTGTTGGTGCCCCAAACGTATATATACGTTTTATTTTTCCTGCCTTCAAATTTGGCACGATTGGCCTGAGATGCCTTGTCAACATAGAATGGGTCCTAACACTCAGTGTGCACGGTTTTAAAAAAATCTGGGACCACTTAGTACCTTGGGGGAGCACCAGTCCAAATGAGTGCCAGCTAGAGCAAACAACACGGCAAACACCTGGGATTCACTGATTTCATGTAATATTAACTCTTCCATTTTAAGAGGAAAGTGATTTTGACCCTGAGTTTAGTGGCTTTGAGGTGGAAGTGGCCATAAGTGGTCGATGAAATATAAAAAAATCTCGATAATAACCCATGTGCAACATTTGTGCAACACCCTTTCAGAATGTCTTATAACCTATGCCCTAAGTAAAGAGAAACAATTCTGGCTGACTGGCTGGCTGGCTGGCCAGCTGCGTGTCTGGCCGGCTGCTGGTGGCCTGGCTCTATCTCCATTTGTCTGTCTGTATCTGTTTATCTCTGCCGGTCTCTCTGTCTCTGTCTATATGTCTCTCTTTCTATCTGTCTATCTCTGCCTCACAGGTACACACAAATACAAGTATACATAGTGTAAATTACCTAGGATAACCCAAAAAAATCCAAAGTGCTATACTCTGCTTGAAGATATAAGTAAATGTGATGACCCAGTCTTGTGGCTCTCTCTGAGACAGAGAGCTAGACGGATAGACAGATAGACAGGGAGCTTGACAGACAGACTGATGTGTTTGTGTACCAACAAAAACAAAGCGAGGGCAGATGCTCATCAAACGTCACCTCTAATCTTTTCTTATCAAGTGTTATCACCGCACCCTCGAGTATGCTCATCAAACGTCAGCTCTTATCAGATATTATCTCATCTTATCATGTCACTGTCGGGGGTGGACTTAGTTTTTCATGCTTCAAGGGAATTTACTATTACATGTATAGTTATTATTATATTTTTTCTCCTCTTTCTCCTCCTCCTCTTCCTCTTCTTCCTCCTCTTCATCTTCCTCTTCTTCTTCTTCTTCCTCTTCCTCTTCTTCCTCTTCTTCTTCCTCTTCTTCTTCCTCTTCTTCTTCCTCTTCTTCTTCCTCTTCTTCTTCCTCCTCTTCTTCCTCCTCTTCTTCTTCCTCTTCTTCTTCCTCTTCTTCTTCCTCTTCTTCCTCTTCTTCCTCCTCTTCCTCCTCCTCATATACTTCCACATATCCGAAGCATTGCTGGGATCTATAAATACAAAGTATTTATAGATCCCAGCAATGCTAAATAGTAAATGACCAAGGCAGGTGTAAATGTCCACCTGTCAGTGTGTTTGTGACAATGTGAGTACAATTTCAGTACTACCTAATACTAGTGTCAGAACAAAGACGAGTTATAAAATGACAAGAACTACTATAAATTGTAATTATCAGAACATAAAAATTGTATAAAATATGAAAATAGAAAAAAAGGTATATCGGTAAACACTTCTGCAAGCGGCAGGACTCCATGTTGCTGTCACGTGAGCATCCAGTGCCAACTTCTCGGCCTCATATCTCTGTAAGTACTGACCCAATTTTTTTTATCCTATAACACATAGAAAAATGTGCTCTTTATTTTCATTAAAAAAAAAAAAATTATTTTTCAAAATATTCGGGGCACTGGGGTAGCGAACGTATATATACGTTTGGACTTTTACGGGTTAAAATGGACAGTTCCGAAAAACATATTTAGTGGTGAATGTATACTGTTGTATTTGGACTTGTTAATCGCATTGATGTGTCCATTATTAAAGAGCAAAAGCATGTGTATTGTTACATAATAGTATTTGATATTTTTTCTTTGACCTGTTTCAGGTTAGAACTTCATCGTGAAGTGACCGTCCCAACAGCTGTGTACTCTGCTTCTCTCCATCCAGATCGCTCTGTTTTTATCTGTGGTGGTGAAGACTTTAAGATGTACAAATTTGACTACAACACTAATGTGGAGATAGAATCTTTTAAAGGCCATTTTGGTCCAGTCCATTGTGTTAGATTTAGTCCTGATGGTGAGCTTTATGCCTCTGGAAGTGAAGATGGCACATTACGACTTTGGCAGACAACTGTAGGCAAGACATATGGACTCTGGAAGTGTGTAGATGCTCCAAATGAAAATAATATTCCCATTAAACCAGAGGCTACTGCTTAGTTCTTTGAAGCCAAAGCTTTTGATCATTGCATAATAATACTTTAATTTAAATTTCTATGTACATTAATTTCATTTTAAATGTGCTCTGAATATGTAATACAGTATACTGTATTTATATTTTTAATGAATGCTAATTTTTTCATTAATCAGCTTTACAGTCATGTTAACTTTAAATTTGAGTACAATATTGGGATGATAAATTTTATAACTAACAGAGTATTATTTTTCTATTGTATAATATAAATACGAAAGGTAAACAGCAGATGATAACAGTAATGTGATCATTTTTGTGGGATTTTGTTTAGCTGTGATCCTCTTGATAAAGCAGTTGTTGCCTGACATACTTGTGTATAGAATCCATCAAGGAATCCAGCTCAGGTTGACTTATAACTGAGCTCCCAACATCTTGAATGGCAAATAGTGTATTGTTTTATACTGGTTATCATTAAGTTAATTTACTTTTAAGTACAGTATTTCTAAACATATACTGTACAGGTATAACTTTGTATTCTTGGTGCCTTAGGTAAATATGAATGAATAACAGCTAAGTTAAACAATTAAAATATTAGGGAGGGCTTCTTGCCTTTTATTAAGAATACTACCATAATTTAAATACTTTCTGATAAGAGGTGCAAGTGAATGACCCTACACATTATGTAATGTTTTCAGGAACCCTCAGTACCTCAGGTGTTTGGTAAACTATTTCATATTATTTATGTTGTTGGGACCTCCTGGTAGATAACTTGGACCCTTAGCTTAGTAGAATATCAAGGATCTAAAACATTTTTTTTATTTTCTTTCTCACTTGTTTCCCCCTTTCAATGCTAGTGAGGGGCTCTTGATCTAAAGTATGGCACCTATCCTCCCTTTCCTTGGATTGAACCTGATTACCTCCCATTCCACCAGGTGCTCCTCTTCAAGGGCGGCTCCTTGGCGTGGTGAAGAGGCTCTTGGTCTGAGGAATTAGACCTGTCGGTCTCCTTCCTCAGACCGAACCTAATTACCCCCCAATCCCCCCTTCCCCATCCCATCTTCCCCTTTTTCCTTTCCTCCTCCTCCTAATCCCCTCCCCTCCCTTTTGCCCTTCCTTTTTGGCCTTTGGGATTTTTTCCCACAGGCACGCTAGTTCCTAGGTAGGGGAAAGGGTACCGGGGTCCATCCCATTCCGTTGAGGTTCTTGGCGGTGGCTCAGTTTGCCGTGGAATCTGGATTGCCTGGGGATGTCCCGATCCCTCTCTGGTATCCCGGAGGGTGGCTTTGGGTGTCCTTCGGGCGACGGATGTATCTCTGGAAGCCACCTTTCGGATTCCGGGGGTGGTGGCTGGGGGAGGTATGCTTTGTGGCGGATATCCGGCCGCCCTCTCTTTTGTCCACCGAGGTAGCTCGGCAGATGTAAGGTTGCTATCCCGAATTGCTGGTTTACTGGCATGATGGGTGGGGTATGGCACGGGTTCCATGCTACATCTGCACTACTTGCGGTGCTGAGGTCTTCTTGGGCAGAGGGAGATTTCTGGCACTTTCATTCCTCCTAGGAACTATCCCTCCCCGGTCCCCCCCTTTTTTTATTCTTTTTTTTTATTTTATTTTCTTTGCTTCTTTCTTTTTTTTTCTTAAAAACAAAAAGAAAGAAGTAACCTAACCATGGAAGACCTAGTCCATGAACCTGGTACCCCCGGGCCCCTTCTTGATACCGCACCCCGTTCTGACCCCGCCTTGTCTTTAGACCACTCTTCGGACACTCCTAATGCCTCTGTATCTCTTGCCGGTGCTGTTTCCTCACCCGCTTCAGGTACTGAGGTCTCGACTGACTCCTTCGATTTATCTGACCTCCGCTCTCCTTTGACTATGCTTCCGGCCTCTCCCTCTACGGTGCGGCAATTTTCGAATCGCCGGCCCGTTCCACGTCAGACCAACTCTGGTCCCACTCCTAAACTCCAATAACAATTACCTGCTGATGATACTTCTCCACCTACTCATTCTTCTCAGAAAAGATCGACACGTCCTGCACTCCCTTTCCACGCTCGGTTTCAGAACGCACATTGGACTAAATTCTTCACTTTACGACCGACTTCCTCTATTGCCTATCTTTCCGACCATAGTATTGGCAAGGCACTCCTACACCATGGTGGTAAAGATATTTGTTTTCATGCTCTTAAGAGCGGCATGCACATCATCACTGTACAGAATGCTACCCAAGCTCATGATCTTTCTCTTCTTTCCCATATAGATACTGTTCCTGTCACTATTGAAAAACATCATTCCCTCAATTCTTGTAGTGGTACCATCATTCTGCCCCATACCATAGTTCAACAAAATTTCCAGACGTGGCAATGACATTCTTGAACAGCTGGAACTCCAAGATCTCCCAATCCTCAAGGTAGACACTTATGTTCTTCCTGCCCACGGGCGGAGACGATACCCTAGCAATGTGGCTCATTTAACTTTTGACAGCCGTGAACTCCCATCCTCAGTTTATGTAGCAGGACATCGGTTACAAGTTCGAAAGGTGATCCCTACACCGCAACAGTGTAGAAATTGCTGGCGATTTGGCCATCCAGCGAAATATTGCAGATCTATAGCCGAATGCCCAGTCTGTGGTGCCGATGACCATTCTAATACGTCTTGCAATCGACCTCCCTCTTGCCTTAATTGTCATGAGGCTCACCCTTCGTACTCTTGCTGTTGCCAAGTCTACTTAAATGAGCGGGAAATCCATTGCCTCAAAGAGGAAGGTCTCCCTTATGCCATGGCAGTTTCTCATCTCCGCCTCCAAGGGAGACTACCTCGTGTTTCTTATTCCCGTGTTTCAAAACGTCCCCCCACTTCTGGGGTCCCATCATCTGCAGCCTCCTCTGTGGTTACCTCTCCCATAGTCACTTCTGTATCTAATTCTTTTGCTGTCCTGGGCTCAGACGTCCCTACTTCAACGCCTCAGTCTGTTCTCGCTTCTTCGTGTTCTCCCTCACAAGCCTCGTTATCAACGAGATCTCGTACGACACCACCTCCCAATAGTCCCTCTACTTCTCAGAAGTCAAAAAAAGGTCCTTTAACCCTTCCTTCCCTTCTTCCACCTCCTCATTTTACCTTCCCTGTCTCTGTACCTGGTTCTTCTCCTCTCACTGGCTCTGTTACAAGTGTAGAGGTTCACCCTCCTCTTCGTACTGTACCTTCCTCCCCTGTTCCCTCCCAAGTTTCTTCCTCTTCTGCCACCTCCCAGGTTTCTGCCTCTTCTGTCCCCTTCCACGCTTCTTCTCCAGTTCCCTCCACCCTTTTGCCCCCCCCCTACCTTGGTACAGTCCATTACAGTTCCAATCTTTACTCATCCTCCCCCTACCGTCTCCAATATTGTCTCCCATACGACGTCTTTGAATTCCGAAACACTTGAAGCAATCTCTGAATATATTGCAGAGACCAAACCATCAATGGACACTGATCCACCCTCTGTTCCTTCTCTCTCCTCTCCTCCATCTACGCAACTCCTTTCTTCGCAACGCACCGTTCCTTCGCTGCTTGAACGTTTTCCGCTGCCACCACATGTGGACTTTTCTAACCCCTCTAGTCCATAGGAACCCTTACCTGCGGATTTCATGTATCTTTATCGTTGCCAATCATGGCCTATTTACAGTGGAATATACGCGGCCTCAGGGGTAATCGGGGTGAGCTTCAGATGATACTCCTAGTTTTCCCCTGATGGTGTTTGCTTACAGGAACCAAAATTACACTCTGCTGTTATCTATCCCATCTCAGGCTATAATTTATTGTATTCTTCAGATCCTTTTCCTGATGGGACCTTTAATGAAAGTGCCCTTATTCTATGCACTGATATTCCGTACCATCAGCTATTTGTTCGTACTTCGCTGCATTACACAGCAGCCCGTATCCACTTGCATAGGTGGTATATGCTCTGTTCTTTATCTCTCTCTCCTTCTCGTGCATTATCTATCCCGGATATTGCCTTTCTTGTTTCGTCATTACCGCCACCGCTTCTGTTACTTGGCGATTTTAATGCCCATCATTTCCTCTGGGGAGGGTCTCACTGTGATTCCTGTGGCATTCAGTTGGAGGCTTTTCTTGCTACCCACCCCCTCCATCTTTTAAATACAGGTACTCACACCCATTTTGATCCTCGTACTCACTCTCTTGCATCGATCTCTCAGTCTGCTCTTCCTCCGCCGCATTAGACTTCACCTAGTCTGTTCTCCCGGATTTACACCACAGCAATCATTTCCCAATCATTCTTACTTCCCCTTCATATTCACCACCTCTTCGTATCCCACGCTGGTAATTTGATCAGGCAAATTGGAACGTTTACTCACAACTAACTGTTTTTAGTGAGGTTCCTTCTTCGTCCTCCATTGATGAGCTTTTACACCTCTTCTTGTCCTCCGTTTTAACCGCAGCTTCTCATTCTATACCCCAAACTTCGGGCAGACATTCTCAGAAATGCGTGCCTTGGTGGTCTCCTGCTTGTGCTCGTGCAGTACGCTTGAAATGCACTGCGTGGGGCAGGTATCGGTACAATAGAACCACAGAGAGACTTCTTGATTTTAAGCAGAAGCGTGCGATCGCTCGCTGTGTCATCCGTGACACTAAACGCACTTGCTGGCGAGATTATATCTCCACCATCACCTCTGCTTCCTCTATGAGTGCAATCTGGAAAAAAGTACGAAAACTGAGTGGTAAGAATTCTCCTGACCCGGCTCCTGTTCTGCGGGTTGCCGGTGTTGATATAGCAAACCCACTAGATGTTGCCAATGAAATTGGCAATCATCTGGTCCGTATTTCTCAGGGGCTCCACCTATGCCCCTCGTTTCTTTCCTCAAAGTCTGCCAGAGAGTTAGCACCCTTGGACTTTTCTTCTCTCAGAGAAGAACAACGTAATGTACCTTTTACACTTCAAGAACTGGAGGCAACACTCTCAGCTTGCCGATCATCAGCAGCTGGGCCCGACGACATTCATATTCGTATGCTACAACATTTACATCAGTCAGCCCTTGCAGTCCTCTTATGCCTTTTCAATCTTATTTGGTCACAAGGAGTTCTTCCACAGCTGTGGAAATCTGCCATTGTTCTCCCTTTCCGCAAACCAGGTACTACGGGACATGAAGCCTCCCACTATCGTCCCATTGCTCTTACCAGTGCAGTTTTCAAAGTGATGGAATGCCTGGTAAATAAACGTTTAGTGTGGTATTTAGAGACACACCAGAGTCTCTCCACTCGTCAATATGGCTTTCGTAAGGGACGTTCTACCATAGGCCCCTTACTACGCTTGGATACGTATGTTCGTAATGCCTTTGCGAATAACCACTCAGTTATTGCCATATTTTTTGACCTTGAGAAGGCATATGACACAACTTGGAGGTATAATATTTTGGCCCAAGCCCATTCCTTAGGCCTCCGAGGCAATCTACCATCCTTCCTAAAGAACTTTTTAACTGACAGACATTTCTGTGTTCGGGTTAATAATGTGCTCTCCCCGGACTTTATCCAAGCTGAAGGTGCCCCTCAGGGATGTGTTCTGAGCACAACACTTTTTCTCCTTGCTATAAATGATTTGGCCTCTAGTCTTCCATCGAATATTTGGTCATCACTCTATGTTGATGACGTTGCTATTGCCTGTGCAGGCGCTGACTGTCACCTCATTACAGTTTCTCTCCAGCATGCGGTCGACAGTGTTTCCAATTGGGCCACCACACATGGGTTTAAATTTTCCAGTACCAAAACTCGCCAAATTACTTTCACTAGACGCTCTGTCATCTCTGATCATCCTTTGTACCTCTATGGCTCCCGTATCCCTAAACGTGATAGTCAGGTTTCTGGGCCTCCTCTTTGACCGTAGGTTACCCTGAAAACCTCACATTACCTCTCTGAAGGCAACTTGTCACAGCCAGCTGAACCTTCTTAAAACCCTTGCTCATTTTTCATGGGGAGCTGATCGTCGAACTCTCCTTCGCCTACATTCCACCCTCATTTTATCGAAACTTGATTATGGTGACCAGATCTATTCAGTGGCCTCTCCTGCTACTGTCTCTAGCCTTAACCCCATTCATCACCAAGGATTAGGTTTATGCCTTGGTGCTTTTCGCTCTTCCCCTGTTGAGAGCCTCTATGCAGAAGCGAATGTTCCATCCTTATCCGATCGCTGTGATGCCCATTGCCTTCGCTACTATGTACGCTCTCATGATTTCCGCAATCCTTCTATTTATAGAATGGTCACTGATATTAGTAGACATTATTTGTTCGCCGCCCCTGTTTACTCCGTCCCTTCTCTCTTCGCCTACATTCGCTCTTGTCTTCTCTTCAATTACCACCTTTCTATGTTCATGTAGCATCTCACTTTTCCCTATACCCCTGGGAAGTTCCAGCCGTTCGAGTCTGTTCTTTCTCTCTCCCTTGCTCGAAAGCCCAACTGTCTACGGTCGCTTCCCGCTCTCTTTTCCTTGACCACTTCCACTCTCATTCTCATGCCATTGCAGTGTACACAGATGGCTCTAAGTCTTCTGACGGCGTAGGATTCGCAGCAGTGTTTCCGGACAGCGTCGTACGAGGGCATTTACTATCTTCGGCTAGTATTTTTACTACTGAATTGTATGCCATTCTTGCAGCACTTATCCGTATTGCATCTATGCCTGTGTCATCATTTGTGGTTGTCTCAGACTCCCTAGTGCTTTACAGGCTATACAGAAATTTGATACACCTCACCCCTTAGTCCTCCGTATCCAACTTTGGTTATGCCGCATCTTTACCAAACATAAAGATATTGTTTTTTGTTGGGTCCCTGGTCATGTTGACGTACAGGGCAATGAACAGACAGACACTGATGCGCGGTCAGCAGTACATGACCTACCAGTTTCATATAGAGGTATCCCATTTATGGACTATTTTGCTGCAATAGCTACCCACCTTCACACCCGTTGGCAACAACGTTGGTCTACTATGCTCAGTAACACACTTCAATCTATTAAACCGAGTATAGGTTACTGGCTGTCTTCTTGTCACCAGTGTCGAGGCTGGGAAACTACTCTCTCCCGTCTTCGCATTGGCCATACTCGTCTTACTCGTGGATATCTCATGGAGAGGCGCCCTGCTCCTCTCTGTGAGAATTGTCGGGTTCCATTATCAGTCAGCCACATTCTGTTAGACTGCCCACTTAATCAACGAGCACGCAAAATTTACCTCCATCGTCGTCTTCGCTCCGCTGCTCTCTCTTTACCTTCCCTCCTCGCTGATGGACCCACCTTTCATCCGGACTCTCTCATTGACTTTTTGACAACAACTGACTTACTTCACAAACTCTGATACCTTCAGCCCTTTCTACCTCAATCTCTTGCTACCCTCTACCCCTGCACTATCCCCTGCCCCACTGTTTTCTGTAACCTACTGATCATCCCTCCTCCCTTCTGCCGCCCAATACCCTCACTTCCTTCCCTACCCTACAGCGCTGTAAAGCCCTTGTGGCTTAGTGCTTCTTTTTGATTATAATAATAATAATAATCCACCAGGTGCTGTTTGAGCCCCATGGATTTAGCACTCTTCCCTCTGCCCCTTCCCTTCCCATGAATATAATAATACTTATGATCCTTCCCTTGCATTGCTGATATCAGCCTGCTAGTCAAATGGTTGTAATTTGAAATACATATTTATAAAATAAAATTAAAGAAAACATAAATTTCCTTATTATAAACTAGAGTACAGTATTTGAAAGTAGAGCAAGATAGTGTGTGTAATCAGGTTTGCCACACTTGCTTCATAAGTGATAGGGTGGGGATTGCCACCCCATTCAAAAGTAATGGAGAGGGAGTTTTTCTGAGATTTTTCATTACACTCTGGATTGTTTTTGTGACTGATTTGTAGATATGCTTTACACAGTGTAACTAATGGATTTTGAATGGTCTTGATTGCCTTGCGAAGATGATTTCTATAATATGAGAAGTTTATCCTGATAATAACAAGTTGGTAATGATAGTAACAAATTATTAACCCTTTCACTGTCCAGACTCCCAAAATTAAAAGTGCTCAGTGTATACATTAAAAATCTGAAATGGTAGAGATTTTTTTTTCTGAATGACACCCAAAATACAAAATTTGATGGAAAGCTTATGGAATTATACAGGCACAAAGTTAGGAGCGGTCTGTGTAATTTACTCGTTGGCAATTTTGCCAATACAGTCCTATTTTAAGCCAATTCCAATGCTCAACTCTACCAGATTCTAAACTATTTTGCTAGTATATCTTCCATTCTAATAAATGAGCACAAGAAGCTGCCGCCCATTCAACTATTTAAACTGCTTTATAAAGTGCACGGAAGTCAGTAATTTGGCCAATTTTACAGAAAAAAAAATTCAATTTAAAAACAGTCCAAAATAAATGCTGTATACATTCAAGGCACCAAAACAACATCTCCTCTTTACATGAGTCATGTCCCCTAACCTCTCCTATATTACACTTCCTTACATTTTGAATTCATAGCAAAAAATCAAAGATTTACCCTATCTCTCAGATAATAAAAATATAACCAGGAATGATTGGCTATGGTTAACAGCATTCCAACAATTTAATCAGACCTAGTAAAAACACACAAAACAGACTAGGGATGCAGGGAAGGCCTTAACCATTCTCAGGAAAACAGGCAAAAAATCAAATATTTTTGCTATTTGAGACTGATGTCAAGCTACTCCTGGTCCTGGAACCAACTAAAATCATCTCTATTTCAGTAGTATGTCTTCCATTCTATCAAATGATACCAAGAAATAGCCAGTAGCCATAAAAACTGTCCTACAAAATGCCTCAAAAACTGTCCTGTAAAATGCCTCAAATTCACTATTTTCAACTAAACACAAGGTCAGAATTTTGCTTTTCCTATTATGTTCCGTATGAGGCAGGATTTTTTTTATACTGTGCACACACTACACAGATCCATTGTCTCGTATCCAAGCCAAAATTTAATGCTCGTAATTTCTCTGAATGAGCTGAGCTTATGACAGATCCATGTGATGGACCCTAGCATCAGTAACATACGTCTACTTGACGGACATTGAAAGGGTTAAAGATAAAATGGTGGTAATAATAACAGTATATAATATGGATATCAGCAAGTTTAAAATGTTAATGTTCATTGTTTTCTAGTGTTTTAAATAATACAGATTAAAGTTGCTACATTCTGAGATGTGCTCCATCCTGTTTTCTCATCCATCCCACCACACCATTTTAAACAGAGCTCATGTGTTAATACCCTATCTGCTCCCTAATAATGATTTGTCATTACCTCATGATGTAATGTGCATGCCCTATTACAATTCTGTCCCTGCAATTGTGGGCTGTTGCCCAGATGTACTACACAGGCCCTCTTCAGCTGAGCATGGGCCCTCAGCATAGAAAGTGTTCACTATTCATTCAGAATCCAGATCTTGATTCCCTTTGTCCATTTCCACCTTTGAGAAGTTTGCAAACAAATATTTTTTCATAGAATGCAAAACAGAACTAGCCTGAGACTTGCAGGTGGCTTCTCAAAGGGAGTGATTCTGTTCAAAAATAAGCATCACTGTCATTTCAGTCTGAGAATTTTAAGATGTTGGAACATTATAGAAAAATAAAAAATATTGAGTTTTTTGGTAACACTGATGTGCATGCTAATTATTCCTCATCCCAGCAGTCTATGTACTTAATTTTTTTTTTTTTTCAACAAGTCGGCCGTCTCCCACCGAGGCAGGGTGTACTTAATTATTATTATTATTATTATAATCAAAATGAAGTGCTAAGCCACAAGGACTAAGGGGTGTACTTAATATAAATGTAAATATACACACACACCATTTTCTGAGTGCAGTCATGTGCAGTTAAAAAAAAAAAAATCTTGCTTATACAGCCACTAGGGAAGCAAGCACCACACACAACTGAAAGTTAAAGATGCAAATAAGTCGAGAGCTATTAGGAAGTAGTGCTTCAGCCTCAGTATGGTCAAGAAGTGGAATGGTTTAGGCAAGGACATGGTGGAAACAAACCATCATACATAGTTTTCTGGTTAGATAGGACTGAGACCCAAGAGACAGAAACTTGTGAAACTAGTTGTATGAGATTAATAGGGGGAGTTAGATGCCAAGACTCATCCCCGGCAAAGAGTAGGGAAGCATACCTGATATTCCACACCACAAGGCAGCCATGCATATAAGATGATCTCTAATTACTCCTTGTGATGTACTGTATGTATTATTATATACTGTATAATATGTATATTTATGACATGTATAATTAGTATTCTTGCATAAGGTTATTACAAATACAAAACTAGGTAGAGCTGTAAAGTACAAAATCGACATATTGACAAGTGGAAAAGTTTGGTGTAGTGTGTAAGGATTTAATAACTGGATAGACATTGAACACCCACCTTATGGTTTTTATATGCTTGAGAGCTCACGGGCCATACTGGCCATGGTTTCCCACATCAGGGGCAAAGGGAAACAGTGTGAGGGCTGAGAAAAAACTAGGTATTAGCCGCTTTGATCTGCCCTCATGTTCACAGTGCATGAAAACTAATACCTGGTAGCTCTATATTTCCCCTTCTTTGTAATTTGGCCCTACCCTTATTGGTGGGCAATGAACTTTAGAAGGAAGATATATATAATGGGAGGTTAAGTATTGACCTCAATTATTTAGCTTGTCTTTGTTGACTAGATACAAGCAGGCTTCATTGATTTATTGGGTATGCATTCTCAACTTTTGACTTACTATGTTCTTTCAGGGATAGTCAACATGATTCAAACTGCCACCAATGATAAAATTGACCATCAAGTCCAAGGTCTTTCTTATAACTTATATTGCTCTTGCTACACATAGTAACTGTACATGACTATGCGTTAATCTTGTTTGATTTCTTAAGCCATACATCTCAGGTTGTAAGTAAAACTTTGAAAAATAATTAATATTGGTATCCATTCTTATTAACTCAAGTATCATGAGTTTATTAATTCTTGACATTTTGTAAGTAAATCTGAACTAACTCAAAAATATAGGTTAGTTTTGATGAAACCTGATATACTGTATATTTGCTGTTAACCCTTTGACTGTTTCAGTCGTATATATACGTCTTACGAGCCACCATTTTTGACGTATATATACAGTGGTCCCTCGTTTTTCGTAATTAATTCGTTCCTGGAGGAGCTACTATAAACAAAATTTACGATTTGCGGATCATTTTCCCCATAAGAAATAATGTAAATACAATTAATCCGTTCCTGACACCCAGAAGTATTAAAACAAACAAAAATTTTTACATGAAATATACATGTAGTACATAAACAATACAATGGGAAATGATGAATGAAACATTAACAGCATAACACTTACCTTTATTGGAGATTCTTCTTAGTGTATGGGAGACTGGAGGAGGAGGAGAGAGATTGGATTGTTTACAGTTTGGAAGGGGAATCCCCTTCCAGCAACACCTCAGGTACCAATTGCTTCTCTGGGGTTGCTTCTCTTCTCTGTTTCTTAATGCCACTAGGACCACCTTGAGAGTCACTCTAGTCCTGTCTCACAAAGTAACTGTGGAGAGAGCTCTGTTTCTGGTGTCTCTTTAACACTTCCCTAAAATGGCCCAAGACTTTGTCACTGTACATATTTCTCACCTTCTTTACCACAGGCCTGGCACTAGGAGCTTTCTTTGGAGCCATGGTAGCTTATTTAGTACTTGCAAGCACTAAAATGAGTGGAATATTATGAAATATTTCATAGGAGCACTTGAGGGGACCTTCACTCACTGGTAAACAATGCCAGACTGGCTGGGTAGGGAGGCCTCCCCGCCTCACACCGTGAGTACGCGTCCTGGACGAACTACTATTCGAGAGTCAACCTATGAAAAGCGAGTCCATGTTTATACGAAAATACCCCTATGATTGGCGAAATTTACGATTGCCGAGAACTACGAAAAGCGAGGGACCACTGTACTCGTATATACTTCAAATCAAGCAGGAGAAATCTGGTAGGCCCGCATATGAGAGAATGGGTCAGTGTGCACCATATAAAAAAAAATCCTGCAGTATGCAGTGCATAATGAGAAAAAAAACTGACCGTTTTTTTTTTAATTAAAATGCCGAGTTTGTGGTCTATTTTCGTATAGTATTTATAGTTGTATTCTCGTTTTCTTGGTCTCATTTGATAGAATAGAAAACATATTATAGAAATAGAGATGATTTTGATTGGTTTTTCTATGAAAAGAACATTGAAATGGAATTCAAAGTAGGGGAAACGTTTGATTTTTGCCGATGTTCAAATGTAAACAAATGATGTCATTTTCCAATTAATGTCCAAGGAGCCATTCTGATATGCAGTTATGAATGGGTTGACATTATTTATACAATTATTACAATATTGCAGTAGTCTGCATAACAGTAAATCTTCTATTTTTTGTTTGAATAAAAATTCAAAACAGAAAACAAGAGTAATATCAGAGGGGCCTGGAGACATGACTGATGAACAAAGAAAATGTTATTTTAGAGCCAGGAATGTCTGCATTGTTTATTCTGGACCATATTTTGAAATTCTCATATTTTTTAATTTTTGTGAAATTGGCCAAATTGCAAATTTCTGACCATGTTATTGGGTAGTTGAAATTGGTAAAAGGGCAGTTTCTTGTACTCAGTCAATAGAAAAAATGGAGTTCTAAAGAAATAGCTATGAGTTTGGTCGACTGGAACAATGGAATTAGTCGAAAATAGGGCTCAAAGTGGGCGAAATCACCGATTCGTAAATATCGCCGAGGTCACTTACTTCGTGAGAGCATAATTCCGTCAGTTTTCCATCAAATTTCGTTCTTTTGGTGTCATTACAATCGGGAAAAGATTCTCTGTCATTTCATAAGAAAAAAATCATTTTTTTTTTTCGGGAATTTTGCGACACCAGGAGACACCTTAGGATTTGGGGTTGCGACAGTCAAGGAGTTAATTATTGACCCCAGACAATGTTTTTTAACCCTGTCACTGTCTGTTATGTAGATATGCAACAATGTCGCTCGAGTAGAAATACTGCCTCTCCTCACTTAGTGACATACTCCTTTACCGATGGCTCGGACTTACGACGGGCTCTCTGACCAGTATTCATACCTAAATAATGTATATTAGAGCTGATTTCCTGTATTCTGTTTATTTCAGTATACAGTACACTACTGTATCATTTTAAAATATACCAGAAATGTTATAAATGGTGCAGAGATGACATTAAAACAATATCATAGATGGTCGATACAAACCTGCTACCATTATAGTATGCTCCTCACTTAGCGATGAATTCGTTTAACGACATGATCTTAGGATCGAAACTCCATCATTAAGTGAGGAGAGGCTGTACACACAATTCATAGTGCCCTCAAATTTGTTGTGAATGAATAGTAAACTTTGGCCTAGACATGAGAGAATGGGTCTGTGCATAGCATAAAAATAATACTGCCCCCAAGCAGTGCATTATGGGAATAACTAAGTTCTGACCCTGTGTTTGAGTTATAGACTGCTTTTTGGTGTCAATAGATAGACTGGATATGGTCTATTTTTGGAGATACTACTGGTGAAGGGTTTTTGGCCCCCTACCCCTCAGACTGTTTTATAGGTTTTTACTAGGTCTGTTTCAATTATCAGGATGGCCTAAACCATAGACCAGCATTATTGGTTATGGCTTATTACCTGGGAAATATGGAAAAAATAGAATGTTTGTGTTGTAATGCATTGTATGATTGAATGAGCAGTTTCTTGCAATCAGTGAATAGTATGGAAGGCACACTAGCAAAACAGCCAGTAACTGGGTCAGTTTGGGCACTGGAAGTGACCTAAAAATACACCTTAAAGTGGGTGAAATCACTTGCATAAAGTGCTCCCTGTCCCCAATGTTGCTCCTGCTTAATTCCATAAGCATTATATCAAATTTTGTAGTTTTGGAGTCAATAACTTAAGAAAAGCATTCTCTAACTTTTTTTAAAGTAAAATGGTGACAGAAAGAGCTTTCAATTTAAGGGGTGTCAACAGTGAAAGGGTTAAAGAAAATAGCTTAAAATTGTGTAATTGAAAATTTGTGTTCTGAGAGCTACTACCATTTGTAGTGTAAAATTGATGGTACATTGCCATTTGAATATCACCTAAGAACAAAGTTCTCTCCTTCACTAATAGTATTCTATTTTATAATAGTGTGGTGTGTATTCTTGAAAGATATTTTTATATTGTGTTGTATTTGTATTTCAAAACCCCTCAAGGGAGGTTACTTGATGCTGGTGAGGGGCTCTTGATCTAGGAAATTGGATCTATGATTCGGTTCCCTGAATTGAGCCTGAACACCCTCCACCCAGGTTATCACTGGATGCAGTGATAACCTGGAAAGGGTTTTGGGGGTCAACACCCCCACGGCCCAGTCTGAGACCAGGCCTCATGGTGGATCAGGGTCTGATCAACTAGGCTGTTACTGCTGGGCACATGCAAACTGACGTACGAACCACAGCCCGGTTGGTCAGGTACTGGCTTTAGGTGCCTGTCCAGTGCCTTTTGAAGACAGCCAGGGATCTATCAGTAATCCCCCTTATGTATGCTGGGAGGCAATTGAACAGTCTTGGGGCCCCAGACACTTATTATATTGTCTCTCAGT